CGCGTGTCAGGGAACACGTCTAACAGCCCAGCCGTGTGCAAGCACCAGAAGACACAGGCCTTGATTCCTCCGGGAGGGGCTGGGCCGCGGCCGCGGGGTGCTCCGTGCGGGTGGGGCGTGCACAGGGTCAAAGGTGAACTTTCGAAATTTAAAAATGAGAAGTGCCCGGCTGGCGTGGCTCCGTGGCTGAGTGTCGACCTATGAACCAGGGGGTCCCAGGTTCGATTCCCGATATGGGCACAGGCCCGGGTTGCGGACTCGATCCCCCGTGGGGGGACATGAAGGAGGCAGCGGATCAATGATTCTCTCTCATTGACGTTTCTCTCTCCCTCTCCCTTTCTCTCTGAAATCAATAAAAATACATAAATATAAAAAGTGAGGAGAAAGCATGTGCATGGCAGGGGGGCCCCACAACACAGACCAGCAGGGGCAGCAGGGGAGCCTGAGACGGCAGCTGAAAGGAAGCAGGCGAATATCCCAGCTCCTGGGGTCCCCCCCAATAACGAGGGTCACCCCACTAACGAGGGTGAGGGCCCCGTGCCTGACTCTGCGCACGGCCACGGAGCCCCTGGGCAGGAGTTGTTTCCCAGCCAGTGTCACCCAGCAGCCCTCGTGCGGGCCCCACAGCCTGAGGACAGGCGTTGGGGACAGACCCTCCCAGCGGGAATCACACTGCCAGGCCGGTGTGCCAACGGCAGACCCTCCGGGCACAGAGCCCGCCCAGCAGGCCCAGAACCCCTGTGGGAGCCCGCAGGGCAGGGCGTGCTGGGGCGGGTGTGACGTGCGGGGCTGGGGACCCCTGCACGCGGCCCTCCCGGGCTCCTCACCGGAGGCTGCGGCGATCGGGGTCATAGCGCTCGGGCAGCAGCTGCCCCAGCGTCCGGTAGACGACGACCAGGGCGACGGCGAATTGGCCGGGCTCCTCGGGGTGCCTCTTCCGCCTCCGGGACGGGGCCTCGCTCTCGGCGCCAGGCCCAGGGCGCGGGGCGTGCGGGGCGGCCTTACCCCCGACGGGCCTCCCTGAGGGCCCCTCTGCAAGGGGAGCGAGCATGTGAGCGAGGAGCCGACACGGGGGACGGGGCTCCCCCAGGGACGCGCCCCGAGGACAGGCCGGAGAGACAAGCCGGCCACAGGCTGTGGATTTCACTCTCGGGACCAGGAGGCAGCGGGGCAGCGGTCACCAGGGGCTGGGGGGGCAGCGTCCTGCACGGCGGCCTCGCGGGAATCTCGGGCCCCACGGCACGCCGTGGAGGGGGGGCCGAGCCGAGCCTGCCCCCCTGTGGGCGCTCCCGGCCTAAATAAACCGCTGGGGCTGAAGCCTCAGTTTCTCCACAGCCCAGCTGGCTCAGTGTCTCCCACTAACCAGTGCTGGTCAGGGAGCCTCAGCCCACGGGACCCACACCCACAGGACACGCACCCACGGGACCCGCACCCACGGGGCATGCTCTGCTGTGAGACTGCTTCTCGCTCTCCCCGCAGCCCCCCCGCCCGCCCCCCAGCAGGAGGCCCCGCGCAGCCCTGGGCTCCCACGCTCACCTCTCCTCTCCGGAGGTCGGAAGAAGTCGGCGGAGAAGAAGACGGAGGACGCCAGCTCTCTCGGGAAGTCCTCCCGGATGTCCTCGAACCGCGGCACCCAGGCTCCCGAGAAGTTGAACTTGTCGAAGACGTCGACCGCGAGGACTGTGGGGACGGTGGTTTCCCTCACACGTGGCTCGAGGCCCTGCCCCTGGGAGCCCCAACCCGAGCCAGAACCCGTCTTCCTGGGTGCTTTACACCAAGCGGGAGGGGAACGCAACAGGCCCGGGTCGGGACATGGGGGGCAGCTTGGGGGCCGGCACAGCCGGTGACCCTGACGCGAGCAGCTCGCCCCCCGCCCGCCCGGTGGGGACGCCGCTATGGGTCACAGGCCCGCCCATGGGAGGTAACGGGGAACCAAGGGGCACCCAGGAAGGGACGTCCTGGCTCTGCCTGAGGCGCAGGAGGAAACGGGGAGCCCCCAGGCCGGCCCCCAGGGCTGTGCCAGCGCTGGCTGAGCCGGGGGCTTTCTCCCCGGAAGGAGCCCAACTGGTGAACCCGACCCCAGAGCAGCGCGTCCTGGGCGCTGGGTTCGCCGGGTGCTGGCGTGTGGCCTCTCCGCCCAGGGCCGGCCACCGTCCTCGTCCCTCCCTGGGCCTGGGGCTTCGGAGCGAGTGCGGAGGGCGGACCCCAGGCCCACTCCCCAGACAGCCTCCCCCAGCTCTGCCTTCTCGCCCCCTCTGCGCACGCCGTTCCCCGGGTCCTGGCCGGGGTGCCGTGTGTTTCTGTGGGTCACCTGTGAGCAGGCTGGACCAAGAGGGTCCCACCTCCCCTTTTACAGACAAGAGACGAGGCCAGAGCCGCTGACCCTTCCCTGAGAGGTGGCCGGGCCGGGGCTGTGCACCCGATGGGCCCGGGGCTGTGCCCGGTGCCGTGCGCCCCTTACTCATGTTGGCGGTGACGATGACGAAGGGCCGCAGGAAGGTCCTGCGGCAGGTTGCGGGCCACGTTGCTGAAATAGTCCTCGAAGCTGCGCAGCAGCTGGGCCACGCCCCCCTCGCCGCGCTGGATCTGCTCCCACGCGGCCCTGGTGCCCGGGGCCAGCAGGGCGCTGCCCGCGCGGACGACATCCTGGAAGACAGACAGACAGACGGTGCTCAGCTCGGGGTGCAGCGCCCGGAGGCCTGGCTACCGCACGGGGCTCCGTGGCGAGTGCACCCCGGGGCACACGGGGAGGCGGCTGGTGACATCACAGTCCCACCCCCACAGGAGCGCCTGGTCCTGCTCCCCAAGGCCACGGCCGAGCCCGCCCACCTGGTGGAAGTCGGCGTCCCGCGTGGCCGCCAGCTCGAAGCCCTGCCGGCCGCTCTCGTGCTGCAGGACGCGGGCCAGCAGCTGGGAGGCCGAGCGCACGTCCTGGCCGAAGAGCGTGGCCGAGTGCTGTGTGGCATTGCGCAGCGCCCTGGCCAGCCGCAGGGCCCCCGGCCCGTCCATCCGCGTCTCATTGCGGCTCAGCCTCTCGTTCTGAAAGAGGGAACAGACGCGATGCCTGCCAGCCTGCTGTGTGGCTGCGCGGGCCTCCCACTCAACCCACCACTTCCCGTGGGAACTGTCTGGTTCAACAGAACTTGAGAAATTAAAAACCGCCCGGGCCGGCGTGGCTCAGTGTTTGAGCGTTGACCTATGAACCAGGAGTCACGGTTCAATTCCTGGTCAGGCACAGGCCTGGGTTTCGAGCTCGATCCCCA